GTGTGTGTGTGTGTGAGACACGCACGTGTCTGTTGTCTCTCGCAATACCCTCTCGTTGTTCGGTTCTTCTCTCACTCAGCCAGCCAGCCTTAGTCAGGGTGCTTCTCAAATCTATATATATATCCCTCTTACCATGGTTTATCCCCACTCTGTCATGACGATGAAGCATCGACCGACCGACCCTTACATTACTTAGAAAGACAATCCCCCGAGTCCTCTATCCCACGACCAACTCCATCGGGGAACAATTTATCGTCCTCCATCTCTCTCTCTCTCTCTCTCTCACACACACACACACACACACACACACACACACACACACACACACACACGCACACACACACCATGTACAGATGCATGCATGCAATGCTGTCCACGGTTGCATGCGGAGGGGAAATGAGAAAGCTGTGAATAGTAAACGCCCACCACGGTTGTGTGTCTGTGGCAAGGGAAGAACATGTCCCATCTGATCGGAATTCCTCAACGAGCTCCGCACCTCGTCTTGGCCAACCAACAGCATCGCTAAGTACTCTCGCTAATGTCATCTTCAAGAACCATAGCTAGTACGCAATCAAACTCCCATAGTCAAGAACCATAGCCGGCATGCACGCAAGCTCCCTGTCTCCCTGTCTCACATCGAGACACTGAGAGAGAGAGAGAGAGAGAGAGAGAACACAGAGAGAGAGAGAGAGAGAAAGAGAGAGAGAGAGAGAGAAAGAGAGAGAGAAAGAGAGAGGAGAGAGAGAGAGAGAGAGGAAAAACGGGAGAGACGAATGGGGAGAGGACCGGGAGGTGCGAGGAGAGAAACGAAGGAGATAGCAGAAGACGAGGTGAGACTGTGAGAGAGAGGGAGGGAAGGAGGGAGGGAGGGGAAGAAGGGGGTTACAGGTGAGAGACCGTTCAAGCTTCATTCAACTTCAAATAGCACCCTCCACGTCGGACATCGGCATCTTGGGTCTTTGGCCACGTGGACCTCGTCTTCTCGTCATTGTCTTACCTCCGACTTTGCTACCTCATCCACATCCACAGATCCGTCATCGATGGTTGATGGTTGTGCTTGCTCAAGATGGATGGACACGTATGGACCCACGAAAGGACGTGTGCCTCTCCAACTTTGCAAACTACTGCCCTCTCTCTCTCTCTCTCTCTCTCTCTCTCTCTCTCTCTCTCTCTTGTGTCATCATGTCAATCGACGTGTTGCATTCTTGAACGCAGGCCTACCTGCCGACTTCCGCTAGACCGTCCACCCGATCAATCGATCGATCGACCAATCAATCAGTCAAACAGTCAATCGAACGACCAATCAATCAGTCAACCAATCAAGCGATCCATCGATCAATCAGTGTCACAAACACTACGCGATCAATCTATCGATGGACTGATTGATTGCTCGGACTGCATGCTTGCTTGCTTGATTGATGGATCGATCGATTCATTCATTTCGTGGCCGGAAAAGGATTGATTGATTGATTGATTGATTCACTGCGTGGACGGTAAAGGTGACGTCGGTACGCAGGCCTACGTGCATTCTTGTTGTGGACAAGAAACACGTCGATTGGCGAGAGCTGAGAACGAGAGAGAGAGAGAGAGAGAGAGAAAGAGAGAGAGAGAGAGAGAGAGCTGAGAAAGCAAGAAAGACGAGAGAGAACAGGTGAGAGAGAGAAAAAAAAAGAGGGAGAAGCAAGTAATCAGTTGAGCTGTGGACCCGATAGGGAGGGCACCTACCTCACTTCACCAGCGCCTGACGCACACAGAGGGGAGTCTCCCACACTCTCTCTTCCTTCCTAAGGCAGAGTTGCGGCCACGTCAGCAGGCAGAGCAGACTGTGCATCCTCTCCTACAAATATTGGCTTTTTTTTTAATTACGAAGAAAGAAAAGGAAAACCCTCTGAAATACCTTTCTCGGCCTTTTGGCTAAGTAAGATCAAGTGCACTGTATCTGTTCTGTTCTGATCAGTTTAATATCTGATCCGTGGTCCATCGGACCACCGAAAAAAAAAAAAAAAAAAAAAAAAAAAACCTCCGAAGCGCCGGTGTCGGGACCATGATGGAGTCGTTAGGCCGGTGGGGCGGCTTCACTCCGCCTACAGTTTGGACCTCGATCCAATAGACAGCACTACTAAATGTATCTGGACCTGTTCGTGGTCCGATTCGTTCAAAATGTACGATTGGTTCAAATGTATCTGGTCTATAGTCCAGCCTAGATATCCTTCAAATGTTGAGTAGTGGAGCCTTCGCCCCCGCGCTTCCATCCCCAAAAGTGGATAACACATTTTCCATACAGGCAGCCGTATGGGGCACTGGGAGATGTTTGTTTGAAGAAGGAAAAAAAAAAAAAAAAAGAGCTAATTATTACTAGGCTACCACCCGAGCCGCCCGGGGTCACCTTGTTTTCCAGGGTGGTCCGGCCGTGCAAGGACCAGGGAAGGTCCCGGCAAAAAAAAAAAAAAAAAAATCTAAAAAATCTGAAAAAAAAAAACGACGTTATGCAGAAAAATAAACTCAACAACTTTTACCTCAGGGTCACATCGAAATTCTTTACCAAATTTAAAATAAAAATGAAATAAAAATGAAATAAAAATGAAATAAAAATGAAATAAAAATGAAATAAAAATGAAATAAAAATTAAAATTATAAAATACTTTTTCTATTTTTTCTATTTTTATTTATTTTCGGTCCGGCCGGGCAAGTGGCCCCGGGCCATTCTGGTAGTATTACTATATTTAATATTTACTATATTTATTTATTACCTAGGCTACCAGAGTGGCCCGGGACCACATGCCCGGCCGGGCCAAAAATATATATAGTCAAACAGAGCTGCCCGGTAAACCGTACGCAGAGAGGGAGAAGAGGACAACCACATATGCTGTGCCTCTAGTGCCAGCGGCGTGTCTGGAGTGTATTTTTTGGCTGTGACAGACCTTTCTTTGTTTCCTGGGTGCTTTTGCTTGCTTGTTGCTGGTGGTGGGGTGTGAACCGACAGTCTGTAGAGTTTTCCATCTGGTGTGGGTGAGTGATAGTCTGCTTTGATTTTAGTCACAGGTGCCTTGAGGGCAGTGGTTGGTGGTCCCCACCACCTCAGAGGGGTATCAGTTGTCGGGCAGTCGTTGATGCGTAACCACAGCCGGGGTTAAGGTGGATTATCACTTACAGTGTAATCAGTTAGGGGATTCTGCAGACTGTTGAGGGTTCAGCCTCCTGATGAGTTACTCGGTGAAACTCCGACGAAACAGTTTGGCACAGCCCCTCGTTTGCTGTCCTCTTCTCCCTCCCTTTCTGCCTACGGTTTACCGGGCAGCTCTGTTTCACTATATATATACGGGGCAGCTCTGTTTCACTATATATATCGTCAAACAGACATATATAACATATAGACCTATATATAGCCATAGAGAACTCCCGGGCCGAGGTCCCCCTAGCAAAAAGGATAGGATCGAGCTCCTGAATCTGGATGTGTTCTAAGCACAGATGCCGAAATGCAGTTCAATCTGGATTTCCTGCACATCTCCATAACCTCGTCCAGATTCAGGCATTCGATCCGATCCTCTTTGCTAGTGCGACCACGCCCCCGGTGAACCATAGGCAGAGTGGGCGAAGAGTGTATACAGTAAGCAGTACTAAGCATAGAGTTTAAAAAAAATAGGGTGTATAAATAATAAATAATAGTACATAATACATATCTGGCAATAGATAAAAATAGTATATTGAATACTCCGGCCGTTAATCCCTCCCCTGTTCCTTCGCTCGGGGGAAGTCCTATTTATAAATCCCTTACCAAAAAAAAAAAAAAAAAAAAAAAAAAGCTCCCATCGGAGGGGGGTTTTGGGCCTCTCTGCACCACTCACCAAATGCACAAATTGCGAATGAACCTTCCCCTTAAAACTGAGTTATATACGTCGCCATAATTTTTGTCTTTCATAATTTTTGTCTTTTGTGCATTTGGTGCATGAATCGGCGAGGCCATGAGCCATTAGACTTGGTACTTGGTTTCGACTACGCACCGGGGGCGTGGTCCCACTAGCAAAGAGGATCGGATCGAATGCCTGAATCTGGACGAGTTTAAGGAGATGTGCAGGAAATAGAGATTGAACTGCTTTTCTGCATCTAGGCATAAAACACATCCAGATTCACGAGCTCGATCCTATCCTTTTTGTTAGTGGGACCTCGGCCCGGTTCCTGCCATACCATCCCATCTAAACATCACCGCTGAAAAAAAAAAAATCACCGCGGCCATTTTTTTTTTAATTTATTTTCGGACCATTTCTCGAGTTATGCATTTCATCATTTTTCTTTTTTCTTTCTTCTTTTTTCCAAATCCAGATACTATCTTTTTTTTTTTTTTTTTTTTGGGTCGACTTCCCTTTTTTATAACAGGTCCCAGTGCCCACGGCAGGGGCCAAGTCCCACTAGGAGCGTTGAGTTTCCTCAACACCTGAATCTGGGCGTGTTTGAGGAGATGTGCAGAACTGGTGTTGAGTTTGCTGAACTGCACGTCTCCACAAACACGTCCCGATTCAGGCGTTGAGCAAACTCATCGCTGCTGCAGTCTTCCCCCGAATACACCGTACGGTCATTATAGCCAAATTTAGACTGAAAGATACCCCAAATTCAGCTATAATGACCGTACATTGTATTCGGGGGAAGACTGTAGTGGGACTTGGCCCCAGTACATAACAGGGAGGGGTCAGTCGGTTTGTCCCACTCGGCCCGGACGGCCCGGGCGACCGGGAGCCCTGCCCCCCATATTAATTACACACCCTGGGCCCGGCCACCGCAAAGTACCAGCGGGGCCCACCTGCGGGCCCCACCCAGAACCACCACCACCACCACTTCACTACTCCCGGGGCC